GGGAGAGGGAGAAGCAGGCTTCCTACCAAGCAGGGAGCCCAATGTGGGACTCAATCCCAGGACCCTGGGATCATGACCTGAGTCGAAGGCAGACGCTTAAAGACTGAGCCACCCAGGCTCCCCTTAAGTCTTTTTTTTAATCTGTAAATTCCCCTTCCTCTTTTTTTTTCTCTTGCAGTTTATTTGTTGAAGAAATTGCGTTGTTTATCCTCTAAACTTTCCCATATTCTGGATTTTGCTGATTATATCTCATGGCCATTTAACACTTTCCTGTCTCTTGAATTTATATCTATAGGTTTGATCAAATTCAGGTTTGACTTTTTTTTATAGGAATATCTCATCTGTTTCTATTTTTTTTAATTTATGTCTATTTTTATCCAGAAACACATTGTCTCTCCTTCTTCAGTGTTAAGACTGATTAATAGATTCAGTCTGACCTATTCAACTTTTCACCTAATGTTGCCTAGATTCATTATTTCATTAGAGGTCACAAAATGATGATATTCTATCACTCCTTCTTCATTTTCAACTTGATAAATAGCGCCAGAAGCCAAGAGCAAACATCCTACTCAGTGATTTAACATTAAAAACATAGCCTAAAAAACAACAAAAAAAATAGCCTATTTTCAAGTTCATTTGTCACAGCATATATTAATAGTAGTTACCTCTGGAGAAGGGGATTTGAGGGCGGTACCTTCACTTTCTGTTTGGTACATTTTAGTTGATACCCTATTTACTAAAAACACTTGTTACTTTTCTAATTTTTCAGGTCATTTTTAAAAATTCACATGAAGGGGGCAGCTGGGTGACTCAGTCAGTTAAGTGTCTGACTTCGGCTCAGGTCATGATCTTGGGGTCCTGGGATCCAGCCCCGAGTCAGGCTCCATGCTCAGTGGGGAGTCTGCTTGTCCCTCTCCCTCTGCCCCTCCCACCCATGCTCTGTTTCTCCAATAAATAAATAAAATCTTTTTAAAAAAATTCACATGAAGAATAAATGTGTAAGAATGATTAAGATTTGGAAAATAATATTAAAGAGGACTTGGTCTACCAGATACCAAAATATAGATACACATTATAGTAATTAATCATAGTATGGGAATAGAAAAATAGGTCCACAGTTCAGAATACAGTCCAAAAATATACCCATGAATATCTTGCAGTTTAGCAAATGATAAAAATCTTATTTCAAATTGGTAGGAAAAGAAATGGCTACTCTATAAATAATGTTAGGACAACTGGCTTTCCAAAATGAATAGAAGATATAATTAAATTATATCTTTTAAAATTAAAAATTTAAATTTTTAATTAAATTTAATTAAATAAAAAACAATTAAAAATCCCAAACTGATTAAAGATTTCAATATTTAAAAAATAAATTACTAGAAGAAAATACAGAATATCTTAAGATGAAGAGGTTCTTTTTTTTTTTTTTAAGATCTTATTTTTATTTATTTGACAGAGAGAGACACAGCGAGAGAGGGAACACAAGCGGGGGAGTGGGAGAGGGAGAAGCAGGCTTCCCCACGGAGCAGGGAGCCTGATGTGGGGCTCGATCCCAGAACCCCGGGATCAGGACCTGAGCCGAAGGCAGATGCTTAACGACTGAGCCACCCAGGTGCCCCTAAAAACCTTTTATAAAACAATAAATAAAAGCAAACAATCCAAAAGAAAAATAGGCAAATAATTTAAAATGAGAATAAGAGAGAACACAAGAGCAACAAGTTGGAAGCTGGAAAAAATATGGACAAATGATAACACTGAGCTGAATCTGAAGTCAGCAATAGGGAAAACCAAGACACAGTCCATTTACATCATAGAACCTGCAAAAGACTCAGGAAGCACATCAGGAAGTGGAAGCGTGATGGGACTAAAAATAGGATGATGGGTTGAAAATCTTAAAAGGGAGAGAGACCCTCACAGCACCCTACCCAATGCTGTACAGTCAGGAGACTGTCCCTCCTCCTCCCCATTTATTTATTCTCTGGAAGGGTTAAATAGGGGGTCTCTGGACAGGGGAACAATAGGCACTGTTGAAGGAAAGGATTTGTTGAATAGAGGGGGAAGAAAGTAAAAAAAAAAACCAAAAAAAAAACCCTAGTGATAAGACCCACCCCTCTTCTTACATACATACACAGCTTTCTTTCCCCAAGTTGGGTCCCAAAGACTTAAAGATATCAATATTCAAGGTTTTCCAAGGAAACAGCCGATCAAATCACTCTGTAGTGAAGACCACAGTAGCGCAAACAGAGTTTCCAAAAGGGGGTATACCTCAGGCAGAGAACATTTAACTGCAGAGTTTCCAAGCAACTTTCTAGTACTGGGATCTTAAATATGAGCAAAATTCTCCATATACTTGAATAAAGCTTCTCAAATGAATGATAGAGACCAAAACAAATGATCAGAAAACAACCTGAAGGAAACAGACTTCTCAAAGAAGAAAAAAAATTCTCTCATTTACATTCTCAAAGGGATAAGAGATGGTATTGCATAATGAAATGACAACAGGATGCTACATAAAAAAGGAATATTTGGAGATTCTTAAAAAATCTTTTAAAATATTCAAAATAGGGGCCCCTGGGTGGCTCAGTCCAGTAAAGGCTTAAGCGTCTGCCTTCGGCTCAGGTCATGATCTCAGGGTCCTAGAGCCCGGAATCTGGCGCTCAGCGGCAAGTTGGTTTCTCCCTCTTCCACTGTGACCTCTCACACTTTTGCTCTCTCTCAAATAAATAAATGAAATCTTTGAAAAGAAAATATTCAAAATAGGGGCACCTGGGTGGCTCAGTCAGTTGGGCATCTGACTCTTGGTTTCAGCTTGGGTCATAGTCTTGGGGTGGTGGGATTGAGCCCTGTGTTGGCTCCCTGCTCAGTGGGGAGTTTGCTTCTCCCTCTCCCTTTGCCCCTCCCCATCGCTTGTGCTCTCTCTCTCAAATAAATAAAACCTTTTTTTAAAAAGTAGGAAAGATAAAGAAAATCAGAGTACCAGTCCAGGAGGTCCAACACTGGACCAATAAAATATTTAGAAAAAGAAGAAAGAAAACAGGCAAAGAGACAAAATTATCAAAGACATAATTGGAGAAAATTGGAGAACTTGACATTCAGATTAAAAAGGACTACTGAATGTTCTGTTTCTTTTATGGATATCAGTTACATGGGTATTTCCTTTACAATAGTTTATTAAACTGGATATTTATGTATTTATGGGATATGTACTTTTCTGTGTATGTGTTATATTTCACAAAATTTTTTAAATTAAGGGCGGGGGGGGGGAGGAAAGGCCACCCTGTGCCCAACACAGTGAGTTAAAACAGACCCACATGAAAAATAAATAAAATAAAATAAAATAGATACACATCATGACACATCATAAAATTTTGACTAAGGTCAAACGATCCTATAAGCTTCCAGAGAGAAAAGAAACAGATTTCAGGGGCGCCTGGGTGGCTCAGGTGTTAAGCATCTGCCTTCAGCTCGGGTCATGATCCCAGGGTCCTGGGATCAAGCCCCGTGTTGGGCTCCCTGCTCCGCAGGGGGGCCTGCTTCTCCCTCTCCCACTCCCCGCTGCTTGTGTTCCCTCTTTCGCTGTGTCTCTCTCTGTCAAATAAATAACTAAAATCTTAAAATAAAATAAAATGGTTTAAATGGGTGAGGGGCAGCTAGGGTACCATTGGGAAGCATTTCTATGTAAATTGCCTAAAGAGACCTCAGAAGAAAGGATCCTGACTCTCCAAGTGTCCAACAATTTGAGATGAGCTATTTTTTTCTTTGTCAAGAAATACTTTCTTACCTATTTAAAATAAAAATAAAAATGGTTTAAATGGGAACAGCTTTAAATAAGATAGTTCCAGGACAATCATATATAGCTGAAATAAACATGAAATGAGTCATAATTAATTGTTTACATTTTATTTCTTTATCCAAAATGGTAGGAAAATCAAGCTGTATCATTTGTCAGCTACACACTGCTATAGGAAAACAAGCTGCAGTACGTACTGTCTAATAATGACATAACTTCTTGAATTTAGCTTTTAGAAGAAAGATAATTTATATTAACATGGCTTTCCTCGGGATGCAGCTTACTTAAGTGTGTCAGGTTATACAGTTTCATTTGGCTATTTCCAAAAAGCCAGACATACCCAAATACACTGATGTAAAAGACCTCTTGTTTTATTCTACATGTTAAAGACATTAGTACAATTTTCTATTTCCTTAATGCCCAAACATGTGGCAAACAGTACACTCACATGATACCCAGTGTCAATTGTGATAATCAGGGTACAAGCATTGTGGAGGGAAAAAAATCCGGATTCCTGAGGTCTCTTCTCTTATTGAGAGGCAGAGCCTGTGGAAACCCCTGGCTGCTGTTCTTGGGGTAGGGAGATACCAAATGAATCACAGTATCGATAGGTAAGGTGGTCCTGGAGAGCAGTACTGGCTGAGAGATGCTGACTAAAGGGTGTTTCCTTGAGTTGCACAGCAGTCAGATCAAACCAGGGGAAAGGCCTGGGGTGGGGGAAAAAAAATTCTGTTACTTTTTTATGTCTGTTTAATACATCTGATTTGGCTGTTGAACATTTCCTTTAAAGAAAGTTTTCCAACACTTGGAAATAAGGGTATTTTCTATATCAAACTAATTAAAATTCATCAACATTCAGCTACAACTATTCACTATGCAGATTTAATTGTACTTGTGATGCGTTTTGCACAAATGTGCATTTTTCTAAGTGCATTTGGGAGGGAATTCATAATTAAAGAATGATTATAATAATGACATTGACATCGTTTTCAGTATATTTCCCTTGAATTTAGAAATAGAATACATAAGGGGCACCTGGATGGCTCAGCAGGTTAAGCAATGGACTCTTGATTTCGGCTCAGGTCATGGTCTAAGGGTCATGAGCTCAAGCCCTCTGTCGGGCACTGTGCTGGGTGTGGAGCCTGCTTAAGATTCTTTCTCTCCCTCTGCCCCTCCCCCCTGCTTGTGTGCGGACTCTCTCTCTTTAAAAAAAAAAAAGAAAGAAAGAAAATAGCATACATAAGAGGATCATGGACATTAGGAATAGAAAAGATCTGGAAAGCCTGAGTGGCGCAGTCAGTTAAGTGTCTGACTCTTGGTTTCCGCTCAGGTTGTGATCTCAGGGTCATGAGATTGAGCCCTATATCGGGCTCCATGCCCAGTGGGGAGTCTGATTGGGATTCTCTTCCTCTCCCTCTGCCCCTCCCCCAGTGCGTGCTCTCTCTCTAAAATAAATAAATCTTTAAAAAAAAAAAATAGAAAAGATCTGGGGCTCCTGGGTGGCTCAGTCATTAAGCTTCTGCCTTTGGCTCAGGTCATGATCCCAGAACCCTGGGATTGAGCCCCACATTGAGCTCCCTGCTCAGTGGGAAGCCTGCTTCTCCCTTTCCCACTCCCCCTGCTTGTGTTCCTGCTCTCTCTCTCTGTCAAATAAATAAAACTTAAAAAAAATAGGAAAGATCTCATTTCTTTTAAGATATCCTCTTCAGTTGTATAGGGCAAGAAGTAGAAGTTAATATGCAGATAAAAACAGAGCAATGTTAAGTATTACTCAAGTCGATTCAAGTTAAAAAGTATTAAGACATAGGATTGTTACAGTGTTAAAAAGATCAGAGTAAAAGCAAGGATATCTGTTCTCACCTTCCTTATTTAACATAGTCCTGGAAGTTGTAGACAATGCAATAATGCAAGAAAGGGGAATAAAAGCATACAGATTGGAAAGACAAAATGAATCTGTCCCTATTTATACCTGACATGATTGTTTATATAGAAAATCCCAAGGAATCTACAAAAAGAATGTCCCAGAACTAATAAATGAGTTCAGCAAAGTCACAGGAAACAATACAAAAACCAATTCTATTTATATATATATAGGCAATGAACTCTTGGGCACTAAAATTAAAAGTGCAATTCCATTCACACACATACAAAAGGAATACTTGGATGTAAATCTAACAAAACATGTATAAGACTTGCATACTGGGGCACCTGGGTGGCACAGTTGGTTAAGTGGCCAACTCTTGGTTTTGGCTCAGGTCATGACCTGGGGGTCGTGATATTGAGCCTGGCATCCAGCTCTGTGCTCAAGACAGAGTCTGCTTGAGATTCTCTCTCCCTTCCCCTTACCCCTCCAGCTCATGCTCATGCTCTCTTTCTCAAATAAATAAATGAACCTTTACCACACAAAAAAAAGACTTATATACTGAAAACTACAAAATGCTGATGAAATAAAGAAGATCTAAATAAATGGAGAGACATACTGTGTTCATGGATGGGAAAACTCAACATAATAACGATGTCAATTCTCCACAAATTGATCTACAGATGTAATGGTAAGATAAAAATTAATTACAACACCAAATGCTGGTGAGGATGCAAAGAAACTGGATTATACATTGCTAGTGATAATGTATAACAGTACAACCACTCTGAAAAACACTTTGTCAATGTCTTAAAAAAACAAAACAAAACAAAAAGCATACAACTACCAAATGACCTAGGAATTGTAATCATGAGCATTTGTCCCAGAGAAATGAAAATTTATGTTCACAAAAAACCTGTACATGAATGTTCATAGCACTCTGTTCATAATAGCCAAAAACTGAAAAACAAAAACAAAAACAAAACAGCCAAAAACTGGAAACCACTCAGGAGTCCTTCAACAGATGAATAATTAAAGTATGGTACATCCATGCTACGAATACTACTCAGCAATAAGAAGGGATAAACTATTAATATACACAGCAACTTGGATGAATCTCCAGAAAATTATGGTGAATGAAAAAAGCTAATCCCAAAAGGTTACATACTCTATAATTCCATTTATATAACATTCTGGAAATGACAAAATATGGAAATGGAAAACAGATTAACAATTGCCAAGTTGAGGAGATGGCCAATATGAAGGATCACTCAGTGATAGATCCATTCTAGATCTTGACTATATCAGTGGCATTATCCTGGTTGTAGTATTCTATTATAGTTTTATCATATCCATGTAGAGATATTTGTACTAAAATTTGTACCATTGGGGGAAAGTAGATAAATGGGTACATGGAATTTCTTTGTATTATTTTTAAAGACTGCATGTGAATGATTTCACTCATATGTGGAATTTAAGAAACAAAACAAATGAATATAGGGAAAGCGAAAAATAAAATAAGATGAAAATTGAGAGGGAGGCAAACCATAAGAGACAATAAACTCTAGGAAACAAACAGGATTGCTGGAGGGGTGGTGGGTGGGGGGAAGGGATAATTAGGTGATGGGCATTAAGGAGGGCACTTGATGTAATGAGCACTGGGTGTTATATGCAACTGATGAATCACTAAATTCTACCTCTTGAACTAATAAAAAAAAAACTGCATATGAATCTACAATTATCTCAAAAGTTTTTTGGGGAGTGCCTGGATGGCTCAGTCAGTTGAGCAGCCGACTCTTGCTTTCTGCTCAGGTCATGATTTCTGGGTCCTGGGATGGAGCCCTGAGTCGGGCTCTGCATTCAGTGCAGAGTCTGCATGAGGATTCTCTCTCTCCCTCTCCTTCTGCCCCTTCCCCTGCTCTCTAAAATAAATGAATAAATCTTTTACTTATTTATTTTTTAAAGATTTTATTTATTTGTTTGTTTGTTTGTTTGACAGAGAGAGCCAGAGAGCACAAGCAGGAGGAACAGCAGAGAGAGAGGGAGAAGCAGACTCCCTGCTGAGCAGGGAACCCAATGCAGGGCTCAATCCCAGACCCTGGGATCTGAAGGCAGAGGCTTAACTGGCTGAACTACCCAGGCACCGCAATAAATAAATCTTTTTTTAAAAGTTGTTTTTTTAAAAGAGTGGGGATGGGACTGATGATATATGGCTTCAAACTTTGCAAAGATTATTAAAAATATAAAGAGAATGTGAGAAACTACAATCAGAGTGGAAATACTAATATGTCATGCCTCTCACTCTAACAAATGATCTGATGAAAAAGAATGTAGAACAGCACTTTTCCAACTTTAATGTGGTTATCACTTGGGCTTTTGTAAAAATGCAGATTCTGATTCCATATAACTGCGGTGAGAGAGCATGCATACACAAGCGGGGGAGTGGGGGGAGAGGCAGAGGAAGAAGCAGACTCTCTGCTGAGCAGGAAGCCCAATGCGGGGCTAGATCCAAGGACCCTGAGACCATGACCTGAGCCAAAGGCAGACGCTTAACCAACTGAGCCACCCAGGCACCTGGTTAATGTGACTTTTAAGTCTTTTTTTT